GTGCTCGAGCCCCCATGACTCTATCAAAGTTTGTTCACATACATGTTTCGCCAATGTATGTTTTACTGTAATTGAAAACTCAGCTGCCTCATAAAAACTATGCTGGTTTTTATACTTTCATCACTAAGCCTGTTGGTTTTTATCTTAAAATTAAGAATGTGTTATGAAAAAGTATAGAACATTTTTATGAGATTACAATGCTTGACGGTAGATAAGAACAGTAACTGCATTTGCTGCTTCTGAATGTTTGGCTCCCGCTTGACAGTTCACACTGGCTCCCAAGTGACAAGCACCTTGAGTGAGTCCGCAGTACTCAGGGTACGTTAATCGATTTGCTTGGAACCAATAGGCTTGTCTAGTAGTGAGCCAATTTAAAATAGTTAGTTTAGAATTGATTGTTGGTATTACCAATCGGTGACTTGACTAGCCTATTGGTCCCAAGCAAATTGATTAACGTACCCCATTCCAGTCGAAATTCTAGTACTACATTATGTTTGTCTTGTTTCGCTATGAAAGTTTGACAGATAAAATGAGGGGTTCGTGGATAATTTCGACTAGACTTTTGAGATAACAACACAATCCACTATCAATTGGCAACTAATTTCATAATATGTGATTAAATTCCGGCTTTGATCATGAAAAATGTGAAAACAACATAAAGTCAGAATTTCCCATCAAGCAAAATAATCGCATATCATTCCCATTTTTAAATTCAATCGTTCAGAGGTAAAGTTACAGTTCTGCTTTTCGAGTAACCATATTTTTCGCTGATATAAAATGAAATGCAAGCTTCAATCGAGGCTTCAATGCAACTGATTTTAACATGCTTTTTTTTTAATAAATTTACTATTATTTTTCAAATATTTACATGAGTATCACACTTCTTAACTTCGATGGCCATTTTCTAAATGCCTACTTTTTCCATATGGGACTGATATGGGATTATAAGCTGTTTACACGTTCTTTGTGTGTCTTAATAAACGGTATACACAATCTGTTTTTCCGTCGAATCCATCGTCTTCTTTAAGGCGGAAGTCTAAGTTTTTGGCGGCCACAACTGCTTGTCTACTCCCGCAAAATACACTTTCTTCAATCGTTTTCCATCTGGCCTCGTACCTGGAAAAAAAAAACTTGTTTAAACCAGCACGAATCGTGATGACACATTCAGCACGGCAAAAGGAGCTCTTTCAAGACAAACTGCTGTCAGAACATTCCAGAACTAACCACTAGGGGCGCTGATATAAAATAAATTGTGCGTCCAGATTCAAACTGAAAAAAGCGCATTTTTAATTATGTTTCTAAAAACATACCAATTATACCGTGGCCCCCGCTAATCTAAACAACACTTCATGCATATTAACGGGGTTCATTTTCAGTTTGAACTTCTAGTAACCCTTTCTTCTTCTTTTTCATTCCCTTTCGCATTGATTGATCGCATCCCTTCAACACACATGGGCCGAGACCAACGGCTTTACTTCCCTTCCGAAGGAAGACGTGACCAGAGATTTTTATGCCTCAGAAAAATCCCACCGACCTCGGCTGGGATTGAACGATTGAACCATTGAGGTGAGGAAGTAGTTACTAAACTGAAAAGTTTTCAGATTAAAAACGGTCAGATTAATGGGGTCCACGGTACCAACAGAAATCGAAAGCATATGATGTTGAACGATAATATTGGTTTACGTTGTAATAAATTACAGAAATAATGAGAATAAGTATGCAATGAGCGGTGACTGGCGACCTTACGACAACTGACTTTCCATTAAATAAAACTGAACTGCTAAAAAAATACAAAAAGTGTGATAAAATTGCATGTTAATGTTAAACCGTTTTGTTGTCTTCGGAGTACTTATTTCTTGCTTCATAAAGAATAAGTGCTCCGAAGACATCAAATCACTTAAAAATAAGCTTTGAATCACGGAAAATACTTGCAACATCCTTGAAAGCCTCCCTAATAAAGATAAATAATAATAATACTTGCAACATTAGCCCACAGACAAACAGACATAACACATTGAATATTTCTCACTGTAAAACATCGTCGCTAAAACATTACCGCCATCTGTTGAGTACACTGTGGTGGGCACTACGCTGAACAGATGGCAGTAGTGTGTAAACGTCAAACGCAAGGGAATTGACTATATGGTGGCGGTACTACCAACTACGATACTTTTAAATTGTCCGTTAAATGCTTGTTCGATGAACAACTTGCGAGAGTTATGTCTGTTTGTCTGTGATTAACCCATCAACATGTAATGCCTTGTTCAGACTGGAGAGTTATAACATAGAGGTAACTCTAAGACCACTGGGTCCCGAAGAAAATCATTATTATTTTTGGCTCACTCAGTACCAGAACAACGGTCCCAAGCAGTCCCAAGCTATTTCACTCACCCCTGCATGTTCTGCATGAATCCACACACCCCTGATGTTATCTGTCAAACTTTCATAGCGAATCAAAACAAACATAGTGTAGTAATAGAATTTCAACTAGAATAGGGTACGTTAATCGTTTGCTTGGGACCAATAGGCTACTAAAGTGGTGAGCCAATTTAAAATCGTTAGTTTCGTATTGATTGTTGATTATAACATGTTATAACGGTTGTCAAATAATTGCAACACAGAAACCACCATCAAGATAGCGCTATGACATGTTATAACTCTGTAGTCTGAACGTACTATAAACCACTTAACTACACACAAAAAACGAAAATTGTATCAATAAAAATATTGACCTTTCAATTTAATAGTACCCAAAAATTCGTTACTTCAACAATGAAAATGTTTAAAATAACAAGGGAATTTTCAATTCAAAAGTAGATGTTTTGATTTTAACTTGTGGTTGTAAAAGTGCAAATTTTCAAATCAAAAATTGTTTAACTGTCAAAATAACTTCTTCTGCGGTAGATTTTTACTCATTTCTGGATAGCTTTAGAATAACGTTATTTACTCACAGAAAAACGCGCAAACCGGGAGGTGAAAAACAATCATTCACGGAGTGTTTAATTATTTGTATGGAGATGAAATACGCCCGTAAAAGTTTTGTTTTGCTTCCACTGGTTATTCCCGGCAGTCGCCTAACCGGACAAGAAGGGAATCGAGAGGATAAAGGAGTGTTCTCACGATTTGACCATCTGTGGAATCATCTGGTTCGAGATGAGGAAGATCTCACCAATGCCCAATCATACGGAAGAGTGTGCCAAATGTAAATACAGTAGAAGGCAATCACCAAGTCCAGCCGTGTATTGGTATGTAATGTAATGTACTGAATTTATAATTTTTGCCCTAAATACGTTTTCTACTGTCTCCACAGCGCTTCCATCATCGCATCTGGTGATTGTTACCATCACCAAAACGATCTACTGAGTAACCGAGTCGTTGGAGAGTCGTGTCTCAGCTGGTGATGCTCAATCTTCTCGTTGAACGATCTCGAGTCGGAAGGTGTAGCCAAGTACCTGAGCATAATATCCCGAAAAAGATGTTCAGTTGAAGAAAACAAATATAGGAATTTGAAGTGTCCACGAGATCAAAGAATAATATATGGTTATTCATAAATCAAAAGATATATAATAATTGAAAAATATACTTTTATAGCTTACAATTGAATAATTAAGACATTGAATTTGATATTCATTAGAATTAAAATGAAAAATAAAACTGTTATGTTGATAATTCTGATGTTTAAATTGAGAATAGTTTTATTTGTTTTGAAACAGTGAACGTTATTTCAACTAATCCCAACTTTCATGCCAAAAGTTTGTTTTGAATTCGTGCTTTTCATTTGACAGTACTACAATTCATTTTGAAAGTTTCAACTTTCAAAAGCAGGGAATGGGTAACTTTTGAATTAACAGTTGGCTAACTTTTGTTTTGAAAGCTAACCGCTTTCTACCAAAAAGAACCAATGCAAACTTTTAGTTCTACCAATGGTTTTTTTTAATTCTAGTAACGTTTATTTTTTGTGTTATAGTTATAAACATGTTATCAGTCTCCCTAATAAAAAAATGTATGGTTAGTTTGCTTAACGACGTGTTCTGGGTATCATACAAACCATTTGTGGAATAGTTCGATGATTTGGGTTATCGTTCGTTTATGGTTATTTTTTATTAGGGCTACCTTGATGACATTTTTCATGTCGATAATTATTACTCGATTTAGGTTAGCGACTGAAAGTCAATTTTTATGTGTTATATGCGACAGTTAGAAGATACTGAGAGGTTAGCACATATCATCGGCAAGAGACGTGCGTGTGAGAAAATTTGCGAAAAAATCTAAGGGCACCGGTGGGATTCGAACCCACAATTCCCATTCAGTACACGTTTGCATTGCCAATTATACAACGGTGGACCTATGGTCTACGGATGTATTTGGCTAATTGTTACAACATGACGTTACAACTCTGTAGTCTGAACAAGGCATAAGCATTTGTTAGAATAGCGGCGCCGGTGGTGTAGTGGTAAGCGTGATTATCTCTCACCCCAAAAGGCCTGGATTCAATTCCAGTCGGCGCCACCGGGATTTTCTGAGACATACAATCTCTGATTACGCCTTCCTTCGAAAGGGAAGTAAAGTCGTTGGTCCCCGGTCTATGAGTTTGATGGGTCGATAGGTAGGGTCCAGGTGTGGGACCTGCCTTCCAGGCGTCGGTAGCATTGGTACTCAGTACGGAAAACAAATCAAGGAAAAAAAATCTGTTAGCAAATGTTGACCACATGTAAACATTTCCATAATCCCGTCATATAGATTATCAGCTTTGTTCCGTGACGCGACCTTTCAACTATGTATTAACAATACCGGAATACTCGCGATGCAAAACGGGTCAACAGCGATATGTAGGTACACGAGATGTATCATACAAATGTTGCAATGGACAATATTTACATGGGCGCACGCTACTTTGCTCATGCGTATGCGATGAAGCATGGAATCCTGCAACATTCTCATTCCGCACATGCCGCCACATGTGAGGGTTTTTGCGTACACGCATTAGTCGGGTTGTATCGTTGAAGCTGAGCACATCGCTTCGTCTCTGTGTAGCACTCTCGTCGATGGGATCTATATTCTGGAGCGTGGAGGTTTCAGTTCACATAAATCATGATGCTGCGTTGTGGATTCATTCGAGTAAGTAATTCCTATATGAACATTTGGATTATTTGCTTGAAAAGTTAATTGAGTGAATATGCCGTTGTTGGCTTTTATGTGATTGATTGAACTATACATTAAAAATGTGCAAACTAAGAGATAAAAATAAAGAAGGACCATGGCAATGACATTCGTCACCGGAATACTGCATAAAACAATTTCCGAGACAATTTCTTTGGTGTCTATATTTAGCATGCTATTTTTGCCGGTTCCAAACACAGACAACTAGACGTTGAGTTTGGGCGAGCATTTGTGATTGATTGTGTTTAATCTATTGAATGTTTCTGTGTATTTTATCACTTACTTTACTGTGAATTCCAGAGTTTACTTTTAGCATTTTTGCCATGTATGATATTCGGCACATACGGCGCATCCGTTACTGATTCGTTGGGAGATAATTTATCAAGAGATGATCTCAAAAAGCAGCTGCAAGATGTTAAAGCACAGTTGGAGAAATTTAATACGCACTATCTCATAAATCTAGAGCAGCGAATGTTGAACGTTTTGACGACGATGACCAGTATTGATAGCAATGTTAAAACGCTTCAGGAGAAGTCACAGATTTGGGATGTTTTCCAGCATCACATTGGCGCGTGGACCGACCACATGAAGTCGGTTGATCACAAGCTGGATTTAATAAGAAAGTGAGTTTGGTGTGGTTTTTCTTGCAAACAATTGTTGAGTATTTTCCACTATAGGAGCCAAGATAGCACCCCTCATCCTTTGGAAACACGACTATCAAATTTAGATTTCAAAATACAGCATATTTTCGATAAAGTGGATGTCATAAATGAGAAGCTTCATGATATTACAAAAACTGTGTACGCTCTATCGAGTAGCTACAGATCTCGGCGCAACGATCGTGAGCCGGTTGATCAGAATGCAGTGATGACTAAAATTAGCAGTCTGCAGAAGCAGTTGAATCGCTTAGAACTGAACTCTTCCAATTGTCCTAAAAAGAATGGGAACGGGAACGGAAAACCGAAGAAAGAGGTTCAGGAATTGGATGACGAGTTGGACGACTTTCTAGATAAACTTGCCACAAAAAAGTTGAAGGATTTGGCAGCCAATCGGAAGCATACACGATCACTGGAAAGTCTATCAAACACGATAAGATCGGTGGATGAACGCACGACAAGAATATATGATCTAGAAGCGAATCAATTCGAACAGATCTTGAGCTGCTGCAAGAGAACGGATCATGAAATCACTACATTCACTAACAGCGCGGATATTCTACTGAAGCGAATCGAACGATTAGTAATCAATGTGGATGATAAAATAGAGAAGAGAAACAATATACAGTGCCAAGGGAATATTGAACCCTCGAGCATTGGAGATATTTTGGACATAACTACTGAACTAGGCAGCGGTGATATAATTGTAACTACGACAGAAAAGGAATTCAGCATTTCAAAAATAGACTTAGACGAGAATGAGCTAGAAGGTAACGTTAGTTTACTATGGATTAACTCTGCCTTTTTACACTGCTAACCAGCTTTTTTTCAGTGGAGTTTCATCAACCCGAGAAACAAGGGTGCCACCAGTTAACCATAAGGGAAAATGGAGTTTACACGTTCGGGACAATCGAACTGAACGAGGCTAACCGGGATTTGAACAGACGGTATTGTAATTTTGCGACAGACGGCCCCGCCTGGACAGTTATTCAACGACGTGAGCTCCACGATTTGCAGGAAAACTTCAACAGATCCTGGAACGAGTACAAAAACGGTTTCGGTGATTTGAGCTACGAATTCTGGTTTGGGAACAATTTCATACACATGTAAATATATGCTTGTCTGCTTGCGATTTATTTTCACACATATGATCAATTTCAGGCTTACATACGACGACAATGTGGAGTTGAGAATTGAACTGTTCGATTTTGAGGGGAATTTTGCATTTGCCGAGTATAAGACGTTCAGAATAGATACGGAAAAATTCAACTTCAATTTAATGATCTCCGATTACCAGGGAAACGCATCAGATGCGATGGGTTACCACAATGATCAAGATTTCAGTACTTACGATCAATCTAGCGACAAATCGAATGGATCATTTTCGTGTGCCCTAACGTATGGCAGTGGATGGTGGTTCAATAGGTATGAGGCGGCTGTATAATCAACTTGAACATGATGACTGATCACTTTAACTTTATTTTAGTTGCGCGGAATCGAACTTAAACGGAATCTACTACTCTGACAACCCCAAGTCCCATATGTCAACCGGTATCTTATGGGAACCCTGGTTAGGGGATTACTCTCTGAAATCAAGTATCATGATGATTCGTACGAGAGATATATGGGCTCCTGAGGACGATGAATCCCCACAACGGCAGGACCCATAAGCTCGTGGAGCTTGAAATAATAAATTCTCTGCGTATGGCACTACTTAATATGGATGGTCCCATGTGAATATGTTAAGGCATGCATAATTGCATATTCTTTACCCAACAAACATTGAATGTTGAATAAGAGCTTAATCAGGCAAAAACAAGCTTCTTCAGCTAAAAAATAGCTTGTTCAGCAGTTGATCAACTCAAATTGTTTGTTGGGTATTGATCAATTCAAGCTGAACATTGTATTAGGTCCTAATTGACAGATTACCTTCGCCGACTTTCTCTTTGTATCCCCACGGCCATGCAAAGATACTTACAGGTAGTTTCAGCACCCAGATCGTTAAATGAAGCTTTTATCTAGCATATAATACGACAAACACAACAAGAAACGATTATTTGTGGTCAAGTTGTTAACGAAAGAGAAAGTCAAAAGATAATCAATCAATGTTAATTAGGACCTAATGAAATGTTCAGCTTGAGTTGTGTATTTTCAATAAAATTCAGAAAAGCATTACTATAACGTAAAAAGTTCGCCATTCACCGCTCACTGTATACTTAAAGCACCGATAAACCGACATGAAACTTAAACTTAACTCTTCATCGAGAATCCATAACGGCGGATTCAAATGTGCATCGATCCCATCTGTCAAAACCATAGAAATTTTATATATACATTTTTACACATACACATTTTTAGCGAACACGGCAGATGTCAGTTTTGCGCTTTGATCAGAAATTTGATGGTACTTTGTATGATCATTCATGTCGGTTTGTCGGTGCTTAAAGCATGGTCCACTTAGAACCAGCATGAAATCAACTATCTCAGGGTATGTTTGACGTAAGAATAATTTTAAGTGGTAAAATTGTAGCTTTTTTGTTGCACTTTCGTAAAAAAAAAATTACTCACATTCAGGGGTTGAAACGGCTTACTTTATTACACGCGCTACGTTTTCGTGCACAACAGACTGTACACTCATGCTAGTATACTCATGCTCTACCGTCCCCTCTCTCACGCAACACAAACGGTAGAACAACATTCGAGCAAAAAGAAAATTACCAAATAACTGTCATATTACAATGTGTGATTTTGTTCTAATTCTTCAGTTATGTGTAAATTAAACCATTTATGATCAGAAATACTATTACATCGTTGCTTGTTATTTTCAGAATTAACACAAGTACAGCATTAGCAGCTCTTATTATCAGAAAAACTAAATACATAAATACGTGACGGTCTTCGGCGGCAGTGTCGAATGCTATTTTTGTTTGGTACTGAACTTTGATAGCTTGTTTTGCAAGTGTCGGATGCAAAGGCGGCCGATTATTACATAAAATGTGTCGACAACGGTGACCATTTACAACACTGCTGACACTCTTCTGGTCAACCTCTGCATGCCTCAGCGGCAAATCTGCGCCATCTTGAGAAGCTTTGCCTGTTTTCTTCAACTTCAGCTTAATAATTGCTCAAAAAAATTCAACTGGGCAGAATTAGAGGTGATTGGATTAATGTCCTTTGCGGTAAAATCCACTCCGTTTTCACGGTAACACTAAAATACCTCCCAGCTATAGTGACAGCTTGCCAAACCTGGCCAAAGCGTCACATTTTGTTTGTGTGGCTTAATGTAAGATATAATCTGATCAAATTCATCATCTTCTTTATGGCGACAGTCTATAATTTTGCGGCCACAACTGCTTATCTACTGCCATATTTCGGGAAAATTTGTCGACGAAAACGAACTTAAACTTTTTTTTTTCAATAGTTTAGGCTCAAATGTCCAAAAGCACTCCACGGAGCCAAGAACCATAAAAAATTAAAAATTACATTAAAATATTAAAAGGGCCATAGTTGAACTTAAACTTACCGGGAACATCTACCGTAAGCGTGATAATGTTTGCACTAGAGTCGGTGTATAATGAGTCACGCCAAGAGAAAAACAGTTGAACTCGCATCACGGTTTTCGAAGGATTCCCTTTCTTTTCACTTGGCAACAGAGGACTTCTAAATCAACTTCAAATGACTTCTAGCTAGCTAACAAAAAATTGCGGCTGTAGTGAATCATTATATCAGTGATTTTGTCAAATTATCTTATCAAACAATAGTAGAAATTCTCATTACTGATCATTAGCAAACGTATCCCATGACAATTTAATGCTCACTGCGTGTTTATGATCATTTCTTAAATTTTATTTTATATTTTATTGCAATACCTTTCGTGGACCTTTCATAGCATCGTAATGTTTGTTTACTTTGCACGATAGGTAGCCGGTTTGACAGTTCAATAGGTAGACTTGGCTTCACTCTTGGCGTGACTCATTATACACCGACTCTAGTTTGCACCATTGAGCAATGTCAAAATTAAAAAAAATTCTCAAAAATTCCGTTTTTGAGTTTTTTTATTTATTCATATGTAGAAGGGATGTTTCTCACAGTCTTAAACTATGTTAGTGATCGATCGAGTTTCCACTTGCTGCAATTACTGCCTCCACACGCTTCCGGAATGCACGGCAGGTTCTAATAATGTAGTCTGGATCCATTTCTCTCCAGGTACGGGTCAATGTTTGTCTGAGGCTTGCTGTACTCGGGTGGCGTTTAGAACAAGCCTTGGCCTTCATGACGCGCCATATTGAGTAATCCAGCGGATTAAGATCGGGGCTGGATGGCGGCCACATATCCTTCGCCCAGAACGGAAGATGTTCCTGCAACCACTTCTGAGTGCGGTTCGAGGTGTGGCACGGAGCCCCATCTTGTTGAAATGCAACATTTGGCTCTCGTTGGTGAACAGGATTACCGGATTTTTTCGCGTAAGGAAGTTCAAGATTTTCTTGCATCGTTCGACTCGTAGCTCCCGGATGCGGTTGGTAATCATGTGAGTTTTTTTTTCCGTGCCCTCGACTTCGCCCCGCAATCTTCCTTTACGATCTTTCGTGCCGTAAAGTCACTGATCCCGTGTTCCTTTGCCATTTTTTTTATTGAACGCACTGGATTCACCCGAAATGTTCTTTTGATAGCAGCGATAACCCTCGGAACCCGAGCTGACCTCGGACGACCTGCGGCCACCTTCGCCGATAGTGGTCCTTTCTTTTCTCGGTCTAAAACCCTTTTGACGGTCCACCGGAACACTCCAACGACGATTGAAATGACTTTTTGCGACATTTGCGCGTGGCACAAATCACGAATACGCTGCCGCTTCGTCATGGTGCAACTTTCAAACTAAGTAAATCATTTTCTTTTATACACAGCCTACTACGGTATGAGCTATAGGTTACGTGCATGCAAAGAAAACCAAGGCATTGTATGCACAGGTAAAACGGGAATCTTATTTGTACGATGGTGCAAACATTTTCACGCATACGGTACTTGGGCCGTGCCCGTTTCCCTTTATTTTACCAATTGAGGGGATTAGAAGGAAAGGGATGTAAGTGACTTTGATCGATTCTCTTCATCGACTTTCTCTTTTGATAGCCACAGGTTCTAGCATCCAGAATGGCATACGAATCAAGGAATGCGTTTGCAGCTGAATTATAAGCGAAAGAGAAAGTCGATGAAGAGAATCTATCAAAGTCACTTAAACCCCTTTCCTTCTAACCCCCTACCCCCGCAAACTTTTTCACGAATTTTGTAAATCAAGAGTAAATTTTCATTACGTCGAATGTAACAAAGGTAAACAAAGTCGAGCTATCAGTGTCAATCGATGCTCCTGCTATTACACTATATACTGTCTGAATATAGGATCACATCCCATTTTTAAATTTATTTACCAGTCAAATTGCTTTTTGACGTAATCACCTTCCGATCAAAATAGTTTTCGATGTTACTTAAGTCACCCAATTTCTATGGAGATGCCGTTTGCCTTAAGTAACAGCACTGAGAAACCCGTGAAAAGTGTACTTTCGTCGTTTCGCTTTCTCATTATTAAAGTGAATAAATCGAACTGTTTGTTGTTAAGATGATTTCGGTGGTCCTAAAATGATGAATGGGCTGCACGTAAGGAGACGTAATTGATAATTCTCCCGAATATCCTGGTAAATACACTTTGACTTAAGTAACAATAGGGGCCACCAAACGACGTATAATAACTTTTGACTCAAAAACCAGTATTTCTTAGCATGAAAGCTAGCGATTTGCCTTTGTATGATTAAAACCCGGCTAAATATGTTAAACATTGCTATCACTATGAGATTATATGTGTTTAATTGGAAATAGGAATAACTTTTCGGTCATCAAAACAAAACTTTATTTTTCTCGGATCGGTGCGAATGTTACTTACGACATAATGAAAATTTGCTCTTGAAATCAAATTTTCTTCTCTCGTCTTCCATCTAGTATTATTATTATTTTTAAATCAAACTGAACATTGCATTAGGTCCTAAGTAACATTGATCGATTCTCTTCGTCGACTTTCTCTTTCGTTAATAACTTGAGCACATAACTGTTTCTCGTTGTGTTTGTCGTATTAGATGCTAGATAAAAGCTTCTTTTATCGATCTGTGTGCCGAAAATACCTGAGAATATATTTACATGGCCGTGGGAATACAAAGAGAAAGACGACGAAGATAATCTGTCAATATTACTTAGGACCTTATGCAATGTTCAGCTTGATTAAATTGATTAAATTAGAGTCGGTGCGTGTCGAGGGGGGCGACACATCTAAATCTCAATTCTAGATGCTCAAAAAATCTCACACTAGCAAATCAATCTTCGAAAAATCATCTTTAATTTCTCGCATCTACTTGCATCGTGCTTAATCTTTTTGTAGGAAATCTTCAAAATCGACATAAATCTTCCTTCTATCTACTCAGCGTGCGTGCAGCTAGTCACATCAAAACACAATCTTTTCTGCATCGTAGATAGAGTCGCCCCCCTCGGTGCGTGTCTATGATCATTTCTTCGATTATATTTTATTGCAATACCTTTCGTGGATCTTTCATAGCATCGTAATGTTTGTGTACTTTGCACGATAGGTAGCCGGTTTGACAGTTCAATAGGTAGACTTGGCTTCACTCTTGGCGTGACTCATTATACACC